ACCCCCCCCCCCCCCCCCCCCCGCCATTTGGGGTAATATAGTCCTGTTCGCCGACCCCTGCCCCGGCCTTTTATTATGAATATTCTTTTCTTTTTAAATAAATAATAAGTAATTGTGAAACTCTGTCGATGCACATTAATCAACAAATACAAAATTATTAATTTCCGACGCACTTAAATTATAGTCAATAGTTAGAATCCTTTAACATGTTGATATTGTATACCGGTATTATAAAAGTATAATATTATGTGTGTAAATAGGTACATAATGAAGAAAAACGGGGCTCTCACGCAGTAAAGCACGGTCCTCATTTATAACATATTGGCATCTGCGCATGCTCACGATATTATAATTTTTAAATAGGTCGAACAAGGCGTCGGTGGTGCCCTAGAAATGATATTGTAGTCATTTTAAAAAAAACAATATTTGACGGTAAGTGCTTTAATCTTCCAATAGTTGACGTCACTCCAGTTAATAGAAGCGTTATAGTTTGTTACTCAAACATGTTTTATATCCTTTTCTTAACTAGTTCGTTGCCGTTAATTTTTCACTTTTGAGTCTAGTACTGCGGGCAGGATTGTTGGCTGGCTGTCTTATTAATAGTGTATAGGCCTATTAAAAAATGGTGGCATTTGTAACCGACTGAATTGTTTTCTATATTTTAACAGCAAAATGACTATATTTAAATATTTTCATCTACGTCTTATACTTAAAAATCTTGGCAGTGAATGTGATACCAATGTAACTTCTAGCTCTCTAAATGTACTTCGATTTTGTTGAATTCTGTTCTAACACAAATATTTGTTTCAATATTTGCCGTGGTCCCTGGTCGAGGAATTTGTGATTGAAATTCTGGGCGAAAAACTCAAGTATAAAATAAACCTTGAACATACATGTATGTCATAGATCGCATTAAAAAAAATGAGTGGGGGAATGTTGAGGGCGAAAATTGATTTTAACCAAGCCGACAGTATCAGTATCTCATGAATCATGTCCATAATAATTAATATATAATGAAAAATGCCAATGGCTGCCACTGCCTGTTTTTCCAAGGCGGGAATCCCTTATTTTAGTGTGATAAATTCCATAATTAACTTTAATAGGTAAATAATCTTTTAAGTAAAATTTTTTTTTTGGTGCAAATTGGTACAAATTTAAAAAGTATGTCATGAATCTTGTGTCATTTACTGTACCATTGTGATTGTGGTAAATCAAGAACTCTTATGTTTTTGTGTTTCCCACCAATCTAGGCATATCGGCATAAAAGATTACGGAATATTAAAACTTTTTTTTTATTGATACCGAGAGCGAATTTCGTTTCCGGTGAAGATACAAAATATGGAGAAATTTATTTTTTCCGTCCGGTGATGGGAGGGTGACGAAAATAAGAAAGGTTTATTATAACCTAGAAAATAGAATTTGTACTATTTCAAAGTTATTCCTCAGTCAATTTGGATGCTTAACTCGATTCTTTAGGTTTAAATGTTGTGCAATTGCTGAAACGGAGTATTTATACATTTTTATAGCTTACCGTACCGTCAAAGTGACACAAAAAAAAGAACAGAGATAAAGCAAGTTGGTCTAAGGATATGTACGTCACCAGAAGAAAAATATTTATCGTAATTGATGACAAAATAAATGTTCAAATAGGAAACTGTGACGTAAAACGCATAAATCCGAGGCTACCGTAGATGCCATTGTAAGATGGCCACTTCAGTTTTTGCGTCTTTTTTCCATATGCGCAAACTGAATGCGCAAGCGTTTATGGAAATGCCTAATTATAATAATTTTTAATAATTAAATAATAATAATATATAATATAAAAGTTTTATAAAATACATCAAATTAATAAACAAGACTCAAACATCATCATAGTAATTATATTTTTATTAGAACATAGAAAAGCAGTACATAGAACACATTTTTTTAATAAATTATAATTAGTCGTCTTCATCTACATGTGTTCAATTTTATACATAAAAAAAAGACTACTTACCATTTTATAAATATAATAATTGATTTAAAATTTAACACACACAAGCATATTAAAATTAGTTAAAATTCAATAAACATGTTATTTTTTCGTTTTTTCCTGTATAAATAATGATTTTCTCAATTTTTCTGTTCACTTTTTTCTGAACATACCCTCAAAGAAATATATTAAAAAATAAAAGTCTTGATGTTATATAAAAGTTTTGTTGTTTATTGCATTGTGTATTGCATTGAGAATGTCTCCTGAAAATTTGGTAGCATTATCTTTTAAAATCCAAAAGTTTTGGGCAAAATAAGGCAGAAATTTGGAAAGTGGGTCACACGTATTTTCATTTAAATACTAAGATAAAGAAGGGGGTTTAAAAAAATCACCAAAAAAATCATAACTCAACTTCTATAAAAGATAGAAAGATGAAATTGGTATTGTTGTAAAGCTTATAGCTAGCCCTTTAAAATGATGTATCATTCATGACAATCGGACAATATTTAAATTGTGTGTCAAAGTACCTGACCAATCCGATGTATCTTGGTCATGGTCTAGATTGAAAAAAAACTTTTTTTATTACAGTAAAAATGAAGTTCAGGTGCGTAGATTATTTCTGGTTGAATTTCTTATTTTCACGTGTAAACTTATGTTAATTCTTTATAAACAGTATTTTAAAAAGTAAAATACCACTTTTTATTGGAATACAACAATTTAACAAATTTTCAGAGATAAAAAAAGTACATTTTCATGAATCTGTCTTTTACGGAGCTATTGTGGTAAATCAAGGACAACTCTTCTGTCTTAAAAGATACTTTATAAAAGTTGCCCAAATAGATGAATCTTGGTTAAAATAAATGTATTTATTTATAATAATTTATTTTATGCGCTCACTATGCCAGAGGGGTGCTCAAATTAGAGCTGACCAATCACGGACAACGTATTTGCCGCCATTAGTATGAGATGACTTTCAATAAATGATCCAAGTTCCCCCATTCGTGAAACGTCACAAATATTTATTGTAAAAGTGGACACGTGATTACACATTGGCACATATTAGTAGACACCCCCTTTCAGCTTCACTCCAGGACAGTGGTGGCGTGTGTCCCCGCTGCCTTAGTCGGTGATCCACTTCTAATCCCCCAAGACTTAAAGGGACAACCCATATATTCCTAGCGCTCTGAGAGGAATAAAAAAGGTGGGGGTGTGGAAGGGGCACACTCGTGAATAATGAAAAATCTAGTATTGGCATACTAACTATGGTTGTTAAAAATCTGGCCATAGGGTGAAAAAAGAAGACAAGACAAACGGGGCTATGTAACTTTGTTGGGGGATGTTAAAAGACTCTTTAGAAATCAAATAAAAATTAAAAAGGCGATTTAAAATTCAGTATTAGTTAACTATAACTGCCTATATTTAATTAATAAAGAATACACATAAGTTTACATGATAAAATATGAAGTGCGTTAAGAAATAATATACGCATCTGAACTCCACTTTTACCTATTATTTCTGGTTGAATTTTGTATTTTCATGTGTAAAATTATATTAATTTTTTTTTGCAAGTATTTTAAAGTAAAATTTAGGTACTTGGATAAAATTTTCAAATTGAATGAAGTAAGTAATGAACACATCTGTAAGATAGCCCTTGTTAAATGAAGTAATAATATGTTTTTATTTTTCATGTAGCACTTTCAGTTAAAAAGTTAGGAATTTTTTTTGTGAATAAAAGATCACTTTTTTAAAACAGATTTGTGACCACTTTTCAAAAAATTGTAACGTAAAGGCTCATAACTTTATAGCAGAGCGGAGAAATAATATGAAACTTTCCAGAAGTGTTCATCATCATAGTATCAACATCTTTGTTGCTTTAAAAACTAAAAAAAATTAAATAGAATATTTTAAAAATATTTTTTGATGTCATTAACAAAACTTCCCAAAAAAATAAAAATAATTTAAAAAATTAAGACCAACACCTTATTTATTTTAAAACAGGAATTATAATAGAGGCAATTTTACAGTAATAATTATGATTTAATTTGAAAGGGAGCAGTATCTGATAAAATATTAGTTAATGTCTATTATTATATAGATATTACAATAAAATGTAATATTAATTTTTTAAGAATTATAAAATGTCTTGAGCTTCCTTATCTGTCAACTGGTCATTAATAGTACTGTTTCCGGTTTATTACTTTTGTTTTCCTCAATTTTTTTTTCTTTCCAGCTTTAGATACCCATTATGGCCAAAAATAACCATTTGTGGCCTTAGACTTAAGAGACCATGAAATTTTACATGGTCATTATTTATACAATTTTACAGGTACACCAGGTCGATTTAAAATGGGACAAGGAATAGTTTTCAAAATATTGATAGACTTGGCTGCTTTCTCGCTTTTTTTTTTTATTTAGTTAGGACATACTGATATTACTGGAAACAAAATGGATGTAGTTAAAGTCTGTTCATTAATGTAACCAGAAAAGTAATTGGTTCGTTGATCCGACGTTTCTAGCGCGAAAATATTTTTTTTTTAGTGAACCCTTTCATCCAGCACACCCAAAAATGCGTCTCAAAACCCTATGGGCTGCGATTGAGTCAAAATAGCCTCATATCCAAGTACTTACAAAATGCTATCTTTGTGTTGAAAAACAAAATACGTTATAAAAGTTATAAACCAAATGCGTCATTTAAAATTTCCTTGGATCAACAATTTGAATTATTGTTTCTTGGTCCTGCTATTTTGAACAAAGTGATCCCACTATCTGTAATTCCGCAAAACGAGTCCGTCTTATACATGATCACTAACCCTTACCCTCATTTACTCAGCGCAAGTCAGTCAACATAACATAAGTGCATTTGCATACGAAAAAAGGGGAGGGGTGCTCAAATTAGAGCTGACCAATCACGGACAATGTATTTGCCACCATCAGTATGAGATGACTATCAATAAATGACACACTCTATCATTCCGATTTCCACAATTTCTGCAATGTCACAAAATATGTTTTTTAAGATGTGGACATGTGATCCGTGCACAAATTCATGGGAAACAAACAGCCCCTCCACTCCAGCACAATGATGTGTGTCCCTGCTGCCTTAATCTGTAATCCACTTCTATCCCTCCCCCAAGGGACAACTTGTATATTCCGAGCGCTCTGAGAGGAAAATAAAAAAAAAAGGGGGTCACTCGTGCGTAATGAATAATCCTTCATTCTTTTAGTGAACATTCCTACAGTTTGAAAATTTCATTTATCATACTAACTCATAGGTGATTAAACATCTGGCCTGAGTGTGGAAAAAAAACAACTAAACAAATAGGGATATGTTTTGGTGGGGGATGTTTAAAGGTGCTTTAGAAATCAAATAAAAAAAAAAGCGCTGTATAATTCAGTATTTGTTAGCTATAACTGTCTGTATTCAATTAATAAAGAATCAACGCAAGTTTACATGAGAAAATATGAAATGCATTAATAAATAATATACGCACCTGAATTGCACTAGTACCTTTATTACTTCAACACAAATTTTAAATATTGTCCGATTCTCATGAACGATACATAATTTTAAAAGGCTAGACTATAAGCTTTATAAAAACACCAAATTCCATTTTCTATCTTTTATATAGAACTTGACTTCTGAATTTTTTATGCCCCTGAGATAAGCTATATATATTCGTCCCAAAAGACTTGTGGCCAACTTTTAAATTTTTTCACTCTTTTTGACTCATAACTATTTAATTTTTAAAGATAATGGTACTGAATTTTCAGTAGATACTCTCAAAATTTTCACATTATATATTTATTTTGAAAAATGTTCTTGCAGAGAAAGTTAAAAATAATTTTTTTTTGTAAAATTTATTATTTTTTACATGAAAATTGCGGGTTGATTCCATTTTAAAGTAATATGATCATCAAATAATATTTAAATCTTAGTTATTTTTATGTTCTGTAGGGAACTTAAAAATAATAGAAAAGAAAATTATTGAAATTAATTTTTTTTAGAATCATAGGTTCATACAATAAAACAATTAGACTAGTGCTACTACTTATTTGATGGGACACTGAAAACGTTCAGAAAGAAATATAGAAATGCTAATAAATTTTTCAAATTTATAGTCAAAACAGACAACATAAATGGTTCATTGTTTCTAAAGAAATTACAGGCAATAAGTGTTAACTCATTCCCTCCGGCAGCGCTGCTTCCGGACTTAATTTATTTTCCTGAGAAAAGGGAAGCAACTCAGTTTTGAAACTGATTTATATTTTTAAAATATTTTTTAAAGTTGCTAAATGTTATTTAATGTTATTGAATTAAGAACAAATGCAACAAAAAATGAATAAGGTTTAATATAAATATAACATTAGCGGGGGAAAAATAACGAACAATGGCCAAAAAAAATCGATTTTCGGCACCTCGGACGAACACATGGTACATATAGACGCGCCGTACTAAAGCACACATAGTTTTAAAGTGAAACAAGGTAAAAACTTCCGGTTTCTAAATTAAAATCACGCAGAAATCACGCCATAGCCGGAAGTCTCGAGGGGTGGGAGATTTCATTGCTATTTTTAACTAAAAATAAGAGAGGTGTGTCGCTATGCACCGGGACGCATTTGGACGCATCAGGAGGAACCCCCCGAGGACGCATTTAGTCGCAACCGTCGGGAATGAGTTAAACCTACATAAGTGTTGAAACCTATACTAATACTATTAGCATTAACGTGTATGAGATGAAGAATTTTGAATATTCTGAAAAGAAAAAAAATGGGGGGGGGGGAAATAAATACAGCCTAAACAAGAAAATGTAAAAAGTAGTGGTAGGTATTAAAAAAAATAATCAAGTCAAAATTAAATAATAATAAAAACTGTTTATACAATATTTGTTTGCACAATAAAAATCTATAATTATTGGTAACAATTATTAACTCTAGCATGAAAAATGGGAAAAAGTATTAATAAAGTCATCAATTCTAAACAAAATCAATAGTTCATACATTTTGAAAGTATCTAAACAATTATTTTCTGAAAAAAAGCTATGAATTATTAAAAGTAGCATAAAAATTAATGAACAAAAACATTTTGCTCATTTTTTTTTCAGCATGCTTTATTTAATGTACCCATAGACAAAATGAAACGCGAAAAAATAATGAAATAATCTAAATAAAATGATAATCTCCCATTAGGGCCTCTGCAATTAGAACAGGAACTGGAGTAATCTGAATATCATCTACACTATAAATTACACGACAACACTTCTTTTTTGTAACCAATGTAAATACTTTCCCCTCTCTCCATCTACATGCCAAACATGCCTTATAGGTAAGGGCAGGCAGTCTACAGAGTTCTGAATCAATACAGTAAAATTTTCTTCAGTACCTGGGAGAGGACATGAAAAAAACATCATCCAACCCTAATGCAGATTCAAGACAGTTTCTAATGTTTCTTTCTAATTTATTTCTGTCACATCCCTTTTCTACATTAATTCTATCTGTCTAAAAATAACCAACTCTCTGATTAACTTATTCTTACACTTAAAAACTAAAATCTGCCTACGTAAGTAGTTCATAACAAAAGAAATGACAGAACTGCCAACCCTTCCGTTTTTGTTGGAATGATACAGATTTTTTTTACCCCTCATTCCGACCTTCCGACAAACCCGTAAAAATTCTGATTTTCCGAACATATATTTATAATTTTACACCCTTCATAACAATCGGAAAGCGACCCAAAAAAAAACAGATCAAAGAAAAAAAGTCAGTTCGGAAGGAAGTGGTGCATTTTGATGATGCCTCTTCCTTTATTTTCACAAGTGTCTACATGTCCGGAGACCGGTCGAATAAGTTCTCGAGATATTTGTCTGGCTATTATATATTTGACCATGTCACACGACCGCCGTAACAAAGTTCCGAAAGATATTTGTCAGTCAGCCTCGTTACGTGGCCGCTAATAGTCAATCATAGTTTACAATACTTCATTTCAAGAAATTCAAGATAGTCTGGACATTTACATTAAAAAATAAATATGTTAAATTCTACAAAATGAATACTAGAACCATTGCTGGTATATATAATGAACAAATTGTTAAAATTTGACAATGTTAAATAAATGTTAAATGTGACATACCCGCGGGATTAATATCTCCCGCGCGATGTCTGGTTGCTGGGTGTGTAGACACTGCCTTGTTTTTATCAAAGCGAACCGCGATCTCCAAATCATTCTTCAATAATTAAATGATCCTATCGTGATTCATCCTTTTACTAGCCTAAAAAATAATTTAGTTGTGCTGTGACTTTTTTGTTTGTTAAAGCTTTTCTTAATTAAATGGATACATCTATTGCAAGTGGTGGGTACAATGATATCAATAATCACATTTTAACACAAAAAAACACACAACTGCAGCTAAGCAAGTCAATCTGCGACATCCCTGTCTAATTTCTTTGCTAAGGAATCAGACGATTCAGTTATCAGATCTGAAGTTGTTTTTTTTAACACCTTTCTTATTGAAGGAAATATTTCTCTAGCCAGCTCCCATTTTAATGCCAGAATCAAGGAAGTGTTTCCAGCTTGTAGATTGTTAGAAGATTGTGAAGAAAAATTACAAGTTAACCAAGGGAAAGCATGAAAGTTGATACTGATACTCTTTCTAACTTGCTTGCAACTAAAATCAGTTGCAATGCTAACCTTCAGTTGTCCATGAGCTGTTGGGCAAGTGCAAAAAGGCCACTAGGGATATGCTGGAAAAACTCGACTCTTGGCAGGCTGTGTACAAATTTAAATAAAATGGATATTCTGTTCCATATATATCTGTATATAATCATTTCCAGTAATGTTTTTCTTATGTTCTGTGGACTCTTCTAAGCCAGTAGAGGTAACGTTTTTTTTTTTTGCTAAAAAGGGCTTGTGCATTAGTATGAAGATCTTAAACCAGCGCCACCACCCCAAACCCACCCCCCACAGATTTTTTCTTGGCAGGTTCACCTTTTCCTGCTCTGAACTTGGTTTTCCTACCAACCGTTTCATTGTCTAATGGGCATGACATTTCACCTTGGCATCAACAATAGCCATGGATGCACTGGGTGCTCTCTTAAATTGGACATCCACCATTTCCCACATACGCTCACAGATGTTATGAACTGGAGCAGAGGAAGTCTTGGCCATCAGTTCTGGTTGGGGCTCTGCCAGCTCACCATCATTGCAATCTCCCAGCTGAACATTTAAAAAACATTATGCAAATCAAATGGTTTAATAAATCAATTATGTCTCCTCTCCACCTCCAACTGAGTTGCTTTCAATTTCCTACAATGTGAGCATACACGTTTTGATGAGTGGAATATGTGATAAAAAGAAAATAGACCTTTTCCCAGTGGAATAACACTGACTACAGTCAGTGCACAACTTCTTTATATGTAGCAGGCCTTCATCCTGTGGAACAGCATATTTACACTGTGCTTTCTGCTGACACATTTGTTGTTTTGTTGCGTTTCTTTTTTCAGGTTTAACCCTACTCTGTTTTACTCATTTTATATTGTTCTAACCTGATTGCAATCTCTCCCCTTATTACCATTCTTCACAAAGTAGGTCTTTTGCACCATTTTACGACATGCACAGAACCGTGTGTGAACAAGTATTGAGATTACTAATTTAATTATGTCTAGGTGTCCGACATTTCTATCGGCTAACGTGCAGTTAGTGGCAGGACCGGCAATGTCCTCCATGGTATACAGTAGGTACATGGGTAAAATTTTCAAAATGAAGTTAAAGCTTTATGAGCTAGTTGGTTAGGTAGGGTCTGAGAAATGCAATTCATTGGTACCCAATGGGAAGGTTTATTAACAAGAAAGAAATGATTTTTTTTTTTCATGAATTATTTTGGGATAATTCTGTTATTGAGACGTAGAAAAATATAAAAGTGACTACAATAAAAATTGGGCAAAGAGTTGAGAGAGGTGTTAAAAAAGATCAGTAAATTGAAGTTATTTAAGGAATTAATGAAGATAACCATTACATACCATATATTAGGCATCACAATACTCGGTTGCGCTCGCCGTCTGCGCATGTCGAAAAATGATGCAAAACCTTAAGTGGCGATTTTACAATCGGCCTTGTTGTGTACTCAGATTTTTGCCTTGTACACCACAGTTTTCTAATTATAAATTTGTTTTGTTGTCTATAATATTAAATATTTGTCTTATGGTGACGCTAAAACAATTTACCTAACAAGTAGAACCAATGTTCCCTCTAGGGTTTGATGGTTTGTGTGCAAAATCATAAAGTTGTGCACAAAATGTTTCAGCCTTCAGACACAAATACACACTTAGTGGAAATTAGCTGCGCGGTACTCAAAACTGCTGTGCAGCGTCTGTGAGATTACTTAAAGGGAACATTGAGTGGAACCCTTGTTTTTTTCTGCGGCTCATGACAATATGGCGCCCAACTGAAGTATCCCCCATCAATAAGGCTGTGCCCTAATAGGTCATAACAGATAACAGCATCATCATAGGCCTTGAACCATTGAGAGGGGAAAGGGTTTTGGAAGGTGCAGTGTTGTATATTTTTATGTGCTGTGAAGTTTTTTCTAAGTACATATTGCTGACTAAAATTATATCAAATTTTCAGCCCCATCCCCAACTCGCAAAAATCAGTTATCAATTAAAAAGTCTGTGCCAAGTATCAGCTCGATAGGTTGAGGGGTTTGCCGTCTGAAAATTTTGCCAGCCAGCCATTAAAAAAGCGAAGTTACTATATAAGAATTAAAAAGTGGAGATATTTTGAAAAAATAGTTATTAATTTCAAAGTAAATTTCTAATTAAGATTTTAATTTTATTGATTAATTTTTAAAGCAAGCTCTCATTTAAAAATGTTTTTAGGACCTTCTACCAAGATGGATTATGACTCTTCCACCAAATTCATTTCTTCATTGGCCAAGTTTCTTCAATCTTTGTGCAATGGCTATGTGGAGTTTGACAATGGAGTGCAGGTCATAGGGCATTTATATCTAAGTGTTGATACAGGGAAAACAATTGACTACATTCTGAATGAAAAAGTTTGTAAGACAGATGAAAATAGTGTAACTTTTATAAGTAACAGCTTTCATGCTCAGCCTGCTGAAAGGCCTAAGCCTCAAGGCAAAAAGACAGTGGATAAAGGGGAAACAAAGTCAGAAGATGTAAATGATATTCTTGGTGGTCAAACTGAACCAAAAAGTACCAATTATGGAACTCTACCCCCAAGAGGCACACAGAATTCACCACACTCTCAGAATTTAAAACGATCCTTTTCCCCATCATCAAAGCAGCCTAGAGGTGATGGCTCACCTTCAAAATTGGGTCGTTCATCACCTAGAAATAAAAAAAGTAGAACTGAATCTGTAGACCATAATTTATCACAAGTTTCAAATCCTGCCAGTGAAAACAGTATTTCATCTCAACCTAGTCCAGCTGCTGATGTTGGTGCGCCTCCAACTGTTTCTGCTCAAAGTGCTGATGCATCACAAACTACTCCGTATAATGAGACATATCAGCAGAGCTTTTTTCAACCGGGTGATGATGAAAATTCAATGGCTGACGATACTGAAGAGAGAGACATTAAACCATCTATTGATACTGATGTTACTTTTATCAAGGAAGAATTTGGCACTTCAAGTTGTTCACAATCAGGCAATCAAAGTGAGTATTAAATTCTTGTTATAGATCATGTATCATCCATGTATTAGATTTTGATGCTCAATTTCTTTAATTTTTTCTCTCTTCGCGTTTGAATCGTCCCCCCCCCCCTCTCTCTCTTTTTTTTGTTAAATCATCTTACTTGCACTTCTTTAAATATTTCAATTGCAAGATCTTTTTTTAATAATTTAATTTTTAAAAAAAAATTCAATTTTTTTTTTTTTAATTTTTTTTTCAGATCGTGATAGAGGCCATGGTGATGATTCTTCAGTTTATCCATCGATGTATCATTCAAATCAAACTTTTTCCACCACTAATTTTCAAACGGGTTTTGCTAGTACACCTTCAAGTTCTCATAGATCTAATTTCAATGCTTCTGGAGACAATAGATCATCATTATATACCTCAGGCTCTTCACAACTTGACACAGGAGAAAGTTCAGGAGATCCATCAGGTTGGTTAAAAATATCAATCTTAATTACCTTATAAAGGCAAAATATTTACCAGATTTTAAAAACCAAACATTCCTACTTAATTCCAGTTATTCATGCATCCACCGAGATCCTGGAAAATCGTTATAGAATTAAAAAAGATAAATTTTTTAAAATTTTTGGTCTGAGGGTAATAATTTAAAAAAAAAAAAAAAAAAAAAAAGACGCTAGAAAATGATGCATAGCTTCACAACCTAATACTTTTCCTTATTCATTCACTCAAATTAATTAAGAATGTCTCTTCTGTCTAAAAATCACATGCTTTTGTGTATGTTGCCTGCATAGTAAAGCTTCTGTTCCACAGAAGTCATGGTGATGATCTTTCTGCTGTTACTCTGCTGGTGACATTTGTTGGTTGGCCTCCTGAGACTCAATACTTTGTGACTCACCATTTAAGAACCATGCTTCAGCAATTCTGTGCTCTTCTTTTATGTGGCAGGTTAACATCTTCTCGCTACATTGTCCATCTTGCAACTGTCCTGCAAAGCTAGCCATCATAATAGTTGTGCCACTACCATATCTAAAATGTTTGTAACTCTGTTTGCGTCTCAATTCTTTTTTGAATTTGTTGTTTTATCTGTAGCAAGAGTCTTTATGGACATTTCGTCTCTAGCTTTAGTTCTGATATTCTAGTGCTTTTCTACACTTTGATCAATAGAGAGCGCTCATGACATTGATTTTATACATGTAAAACATGAGTATTTATGCATCCCAAATTTCTTTTGTTGGATAAGTGATGCAAAAACACTTTTTCATCTTGAAGGGAAGTAATTTTATATTAATAGTTAAAAGCAAATATAAAAAAAAAAAGTAACCTCAAAAAGAAATTAAGATACTTACTTCATTTTGCTATGCAGGTGATCAGTACAATCTTCAATGTGCATCAAAAAGCTTAATGGAGGATATAATGTAATAGATTTTTAATCTCTAATCCAGAAAAGTTAGAAAAACTTCTTATTGCATCAGTTTGGATTTTTGATTAAATGTTAACAAAATTAATTAAACAGATTCGAACCTGTCTTAGAAACTGTTGAATATTTTGCCTTTAAAAAAACCCATTTAGTTTACTACTGCAAAAGTATTGAAAAGTCCATTCAGTCCAAAGATATGTTTTGTTTGTTTTGCGATTTTAATGAAATTGTCTATTTTATAAATCAAGCATTACATAAATGAGTCAAGTGTTTATTTTAAATTTTGATTAAATTTGAAAATAGAAATTTTGTTAGCTTGTCATCCTTATTCTAACTTACCTAATTGGATTATGGGGCATCATAGAAAATCATTATTGCTTAATAATAAATCAACATTTTTTTTTTTATGGATTAATTTAGTTTGCACATACCTTCATAAAACATTGTAGTGGAAAAAACATGCAGCTTTCTTTTTACATTTAATTGTCAAACTAATCATGAAGTTTATGTATCTCTAACTTTAAAAAGTTAATTTTAGCTTAAAGAAGAAAAAAAGTATATTGCATGTACAACAAAAAAAATTATATATAATAGGCTTCATTATAAAGTATGAGAACATACATTTTCAGTGTAGACAACTGTCATAATTATACTAAAGATTAGACAACTACTGTTTGTAATCCCAGCAGTATGTGACATTTTGCTAGTGAAGCTGAAATATAAAAAAAAAAAGAACAACTTTGATTTTCAAACTTAATACATTAACAATACTGCATGGGCTTTTCAATGCAGATTTTTATTAGAAAGAATTAAGTACTTAAGCATATTTCAAGTGTTATGAAAGGACTCGACAATTCTCTTTATTACGTTCTTAAATATCTTACTAGATTAGATTTTAAGTTTAATTATCAATATGATTCAAGTTGAATTTTTTTTTGTCGAGGCCTACATAATTTTTGAAAATTGTGCCCTTATTTGTTGTTAAAGCCAATTTTATTACAAAGGTAAGTTAAAATGTGGCTTTTGCTTATTCTGTGAATTTGGAGGATAAGATGTGAATTTCTACCTTCCTTTTCATTATTTTCTCAACTATTTTGTCTAATCCCTTGCAAATATGATGGAGTGAATTAGTTTAAATGACATATCTTCCACATTTCTAATAATTATTCCAACTGTAATAGTCCTCCTTATTCACAGTTCTTAAGTTCTTTAGGGGAGGGGATGAAGCTAATATTATTTTGGAAATTTTTTTTAAAATTTGAATTTATAGGTGGGGATTATTTTTAAAAAAATGGTGGCATTACCATCATATATTCTTATTTGATAGCATCACTAAATGATTCTATTATTTTTGTATACCTTAAAATCATGTTTTAATAATCATGTTAGTGTTTTAAAGTAAATGAACTGTTCCTTACATGACTAGATATTCTATTTCTCCTTGCTGGGGTATAAAGTCATCTAAGGAATAGCTATAAATTGCACATATAGCTTTCCCTCCTCTAAGTTAAATAAAGCCTTTTCTCTTTGATTAAAAGCTTATTTACATTTGTATCTAATTTTAATTATGTTTACATATTATTACAAAGTTAAATGCAGATGAATAGACTGTTACTGAAAAAATTAATGTAAATATTACACATTGTGTGATATGACTTTAAAATCTTTTACATCTGCATTCATCTTTGTCCATATAATGTTAATATTGATTTCAAATTGTTGTTGGAGAGGGCCTGGGCTGGCAGGTGGTAAACTCAGAAGTTCACATGGTTCCCTTAATTTGTCTAAATTTTGCCTTTTACTTTAACAATTTGGAGTTGACAAGAGATTCTGAAAATATTGATGGTAGACATAGGTATTAAGTGAAGATTTTATAACCATGAGAACTTTTAAGGATGCTCCTGTTCATCAATTTCATTCTGAACATTGGCTGAAAGCACAAGGGGAAAAGGCTTCACATATCACAGACTCTTGTCAAGCTTACAAATTGTTAGCAACAATTTATACTATTTAAAAAAAAAATCCCAAATGGCATACCCTCAAAAGTACATACATATGCAGATTTTTAAAGCAGGCATCTGTTCTCAAGAGTCTTTCTCATTACACTTCTTTTAAGTTAGTCTTGCATGCACCAGTTTTTCAAACTTATATTTTTACACTGTTTGTGGTAAAAAGACTTGTACTGCGAATTTTTTGTTGAGAAAAATGAAGAGGTTCTACTTTTACTTGAATTGCCCAGTGCCTGAGACTGACAGCAAATACATACACTTTATCCGTAAAATTTTAAGAGCCGCCTGTTGTTAACATTTACAAATATAATTAAATCAATTTTATTACAATGTAGATTTATGACAAAGTCCTGGTTAAAAAGTCCAGGCTTCCGCCGGTGTTGCACACAAGATAATTACTTTTAAAATACAGAAAGTGATTGTAGGGCTTTAGATTTTTTTTCTCTTAGCATCTATAGTTTTTAATTTTTGTACATTTGTATTGAGTAAATTGATCCTGTTAATAGTTGCGTTTTGGTTTTGAAGTTTAATTTTTTTTCCTATAAGATATAATAGGTTTTTTATAAATGTTTTTATGAGGGGAAAATCAATATTTCTCATGCTCTGTATATATAATAAAATAAAGCAGTTTCCATTTTCAAAAATGTAAATCGGGGATTGCAGTCCAGATTCAAGGGAAAATGTTGTACCCTAATTCCATTTATGAAATTTGATGTGACAGTAGTCATGGTTAAATGTGAAACTTTTGTGAACATACTTTGTTTTACATCTTGTTTTTTTTTCTTCTTTTTACTGCATTTTTTTTTTACAATAGATGTTGATTTGTGTTATGTTTTTGGTATAATGGACCTTACTTTACCCTGAATTTACCATCACCAATCCTCCAGGGCCTAGGTGCTGAGATTTATAACAAACCGTAATGCATGATCATGCTTTTTTCTCTGCAGCATTTCTTGATGAGCAAAGTTTGAAAAAAATAATAGCCCTAGCCTCAGAGGAGCACAATACTTTTCTAATGGATGAAATGGGCACATCTCAAGAGTTTTTTGGAATATCAACAAACAGAAATTTTTCTTGTCATTTATGTGGAAAAAATTTCAGAGTTAAGCACCAGTATATTGGGCATTTAAATACACATATGAACAGAAAACCTTTTAGATGTGAATTTTGTGAGAAATCATTTGCTTATGCTACTAATTTATGCAGGCATAGAAGAACTTGTGAGAATAATCCTCAAAATTCCTTGTTAACATCACAAATCTCTGTACAATTTCCGGATTCTCAGAACCGTTGATCGCTGGAAAGTTTAAAAATACTATATCGAAATGTGCTTCAACAATTACTACTGCCAGCCCAACCTTTCGTTAAAAAAAACCAAACCAATCCTACATGACACTTTCTCATCATTTTCCCAGAGCAACCGCAGCACATAGCCTTTCTCGGACAAGAAAACCCTTATAAAGCTGTCATTCACCAATTCGCCTGGAACCATACATGTTCTTTTTGTGGAAAAAAGTTTCACAATAAATCTGATTGCATGGGCCATGTCAACAGTGTTCATTTAAGTGCTCGCCCTTATGTTTGCAAATTCTGCGCCACAAGTTACTCTTACAGACAAAGTTTGAACAGACATCTTCTTCTCTGTTGTAAGAAGAACCATTTGGGCTAAAGATTCACATTTAAGAAAATGTAATTGGTCAACTGCCACCTGTCCTTTGCACTAAATCTAATATTTTCTTTATAGGAAGATAACTGCACTTTTGTGTTTTCCTCCAGGTTGGTGGAAAAGTAACAAAGTGACTTGTGGTGAATTGGAGTTTCACAAGAAATATCGATGTTCCTATTGTTCAAAGCGTTTTGCCAACAAATCAGATATGGGTGGTCATATCAGTAGCCAGCATCTAGGACTCAAAGCATTTACGTGTTCATTCTGCTGCAAATCTTTCTCTTACTTACAAAATTTAAAACGGCACCAAAGGATGTGTGAGCATTAGCTCAGTTATTTTTTTTATCAAAGTATGTTTTACATTTGTTTTTATTTTTTTATGTCAGATTTGTTTGCTTCTATTCCATAATGTTAGTGTGTGCATTAAATGAAATGTAAACTTCCTGATTGACTGTGGAGAAGGATGGAAGCTCCTTATTATAATTTTAAGTTACTTGTTTTAATGTACAGAATTTCATTGGTGATATTAAAGTTCATCTTAACAAAATCCATAACACAGTTGCTCATCACCAACAAAGGATGTGTAGACTTGAATAGAGGTTGATCCTGTTAAAATACTGACCACAGTAAATTATTGATTTCAGTTGATTGGAAAGTGGAGATAGACAACTCTCTGACAAGTGATACAAGTTTTCATTCAACATTATTGCCTTCAAGTAACACGTGTGAGTTTTGTGGGAAAGTTTTTACAACAAGAATGAGCTGCAGGGACCACCGTAATGCTGTGCATCTTCTGCAAGTTAGTTATCCATGTGACTTTTGTGGAAAGAAGTTTCCCTACAAACGAACACAGAGGAGGCACAAAAGTCTATGTTCAGCAAAGTATTTAGGAACTCAATATAATGAGAGAGTCGACAGGAAGACTATGTTTGACAAACTATTTTGACAATTATTTCAATTCTTCAAATTCCCCATCTTCAATTAGTAATGTAAATAATTGAAGATACAACTGAGTACTTACATCACCAGTCTGTCTTTGAGCTCTATATTTTTTTTCTTCTTTCATATCTGCAGGTCATTACTTTTCCAGTCAGAGACTGCCTATCCAACATAAGTTTTTAAGTGTCAAGAAAAGCACTGATAGTTTTATCCTGTTCCATACACAAGTGAAACCAAATTCTTCTAAAAAAAACTTTGCATGCTCCTTTTGTCAGAAAAGATTTTCAACTAACAGGGATCTTGATGGTCATATGAACTCGAGACACCTAAACCAGAAACCTTTTGTGTGTGGAAAATGTAGCAAGAAATTTTCTCATAGAACCAGTTTTAATTCACATAAAAGACTATGTTTATAAATACGATGTAAGATGTTTGTAAATACAAGTAGGTTTATATGATTGATAATTTAAGTCAATCTGATGATGTTGATTTTAAAGTTTTGTGGGATGTATGTTGGTGATTTGTGTTATTTTTGCCATTCAAATCACTAGCATACAGAACTAGACGCATACCAATGGCAAACGTTGCTTCTGGTTATAATTTGAGCTTCTGTTCTGTTACAGATATGGTTAGAAGAAATTTCGGATCATTGCCCTTACCCACTACAAGTAGTCTGCATCACAATTTGACCTCTTCAAAGGGCTTTAGATGCCAATTTTGTACTAAGTGTTACGCTGCTAAGCAGGATTTGGAAGGACATGTCAATGCGCAGCACTTGAATTGTAAACCATATCAGTGTCCCGTTTGTTCTAAAGCCTTTGCTTATGAAAAAACACTTAAGTGTCACATGAGAATGTCACATTCTGACAAACTTGTTTGCTATTGATGGGATCAGTTTCTTGTATAGGAAACCATGTCGGCCAGGTATAGGAGACTTCAGATGTTAGAGCAATGTTAATTTTAAATTTGACAGGTTGTATCTATTATTTTATTTTCAGTTCATGAACTTATTTGGTTTTTGGTATTTTCCATCAGAGATTTATTTTTTGGGTGACTATTAGGAGCACATTTTTGATAGAATAGGATAGGTTGGTGAACTAGCTTTATTTTCTGGAATCTTGCAATGTGAACTCAGACTTGCCTGTGAATACCTTATGCTCCTCAATGTGGATGTTTTATAAAAAAAAACTAATTTTAGCTCCTTATAGTTTTTAAAGCTTCATTGGAGCATAACTTTTATTTGTTTCCAGGTATCACAGATAGTTTCCATGCTCTTGAGATGTTACACTCTCAGTCAACATTTCTCTCCCAAGGAAATTCAGAGCTTGGTAGGATTGGAATTTATGTATGTGAATTCTGTGAGAAATCATTTGTGGCCAGAAAAGATTATGAAGGACATAAAAATGCGAGGCATTTAAACAGCAAACCATTTCAATGCTCTGATTGCAATAGGTGCTTTGCATATAAAAGAAGTTTACAGCACCATAGGCGTATTAGTCACAGCTTCAAATCACAGAGATTTCAATTCTAGCACTTTAGTGAGGCTTATTCTCAGAATTTGATTTTGAATTTTTTCCCCAAATTAGATGTAACTTTGATATAAAATTTATTATACCTACATGTAGTCTGTGATATTTCAGTGGGATAATCAGAGTGGTGTTATACCTTGCTTTGAAATGTCTAATCATCAAGTGCAAAATAGCCCCAGGTCCTCTTTTGCATATTTAAAATTTCAGTGGTAATTTTATTAATTTGGAACAGGAGGCACATTTTCTGAGATGAAGATCAAGAAGTCCAAGTCTTCTAGGGCAAGTCCTCGAGGTGTGGCTGGAAACTATATTTGTAGTGTCTGTTATAGAGCATTCCCAGCAAAAAGGGAATATGAAGGGCATATTAATAACCATCATTTGAAATTAAAGCCATATTCCTGTCACTTGTGTACAAAGTCTTTTGTATATAAAAAGGGATTGATGTACCACTTAAAGCAGGCTCATTTTTAATTGAAAATTGTTAAGATCCTGCCATTACAGTCTGGAATTATTTAAAATTGTTATTCCAAATGACACCTTTATCATATATTCCAGAGTAATTTTTGCTTCTGAAATTCTATATTTGTCAATAAACTACCAGTAAAATTATATATTTACTTACACCCAGGTGAAATTTGGTTGCTAATACCTGTCAAAATTTGTTATATTTTGCCGTTTACATGAATCTAAATTTCTATTGTTATTTTTTTGAAATACATTCTCCCTCACAACTCACAAATTTTCAACTTGAAAATAAATACTTATACAATAAAAATGCTGTTGTGTAAATTGTGGATATAAGTTGAGATCTTTTTTATTGTATTTTTTGGGGGAAGGGGGCTGTAAGGGGTGATCCTCTTTGGTCGGGTGGATTCTCGAGATACTGTAGCAGTGTTTAAATTTTCTTATTCAGACTTCCTTCATGAGAAATGGCCAGATCTTTCACCGTACTCTAGAGAGCAGATTTACATGGACCCAAACTTTCCAGGATTTAAGAAAACAAGCATCGTATGTCAGCTGTGTCAAAAGACATTTTCCAGTCGCCGACTACTTGCTGGTCATATGAACTCAAAACACCTAAAGGCCAAGCCCTATCTCTGTCCATTTTGTTGTAAAGGTTTTTCATATAAAACAAGTTTAGACTACCATAAAAAGATATGTCAGTCAATTAAGTTTTATGTCACCTGAAATAATGGACAAAATTATGTATGTATAATCGCTTTCTTGCCTTTTTTCTGCTCTTTCTTTTTGAAAAATTTCAATTTTTCTTTCTCTATCACTAGGGTATGTTGAATGGTGCAGAAATCATACTCAGGTGCCTGTGACTGTTAGTCTTGGTAAAAAGAAGAACCATGTGTGTCACATCTGTTCAAAGGCATTTGTCAACTCGAGAATTTTAGTAGGGCATGTCAATTCGGTTCATCTAAATATCAAACCATACAAATGCCTTCACTGTTCAAAGGCATTCTCTTACAAAAATAGTCTGGATATTCATACAAAAATATGTAGCTTTCATTTTCCGCTTCCCTAAATGGTTATGGTAAATCTGAATGTCAGCCCAGGTTTTAAAACCCAGTTGCCTTTTTAAAAAAAATTGTGCTCTTAAATATTTTTTCTTTCTAACTCATTAGACTATAGGATCCGGCATGGGCGAGAGATACCTGGTTTAGATTACCTTTGTGCAAGTGGAGCAAGGCAACCTGTAGGAAAAATTTCATGTGAAATATGTGGCAAGAGATATCCATCACGTAGATCTCTAAGTGGTCATATGAATTCTTCTCACTTGCATCAAAAACCTTATCAATGCCTGTCATGTGATAAATCGTTTGCTCACCAAACCAGTCTTTACTTTCACAAGAGACTTTGTATGCCTTCATTGAAAAACACCCTGTAAATGTTGAAATAGGAAGTTGGGTTCATTTTATTTTTATTTTTAAAACTATTGGTTTCCTACCATGCCTTAGGATGGATCATGTTTGACACAAAGTTATGAAGTAAGAATTATTTTTTTTCCCATTTCAGCAACCTTAGAGTTCCAAGAATCACTTGAAGACTCAAAGTTTAGGAATCCATTCAGATTTCGGGCTTTTCGATCAAAGATAATGTGTCAATATTGTGGGAAAAAATACACATCTAGGCGTGATTTAGAAGGTCACCTTAATGTGGTGCATTTGAAATTAAAACCATTTATTTGCCGCCAGTGTGGGAAAGCATTTTCTTACAGTCAACATTTACATGCACATAGAAAGATATGCGCTGAATCATTTGGACATTATTTCACAAATTTATGATGGATATTTTTAGATAAACTTTTAAAATAATTGATAGGTGCAAATTTGCCTCTGCCCTGCCCTTTAAATTGGCCCTTCTCTCTAAAATAAAATTAAAAAATAAGTCACTGTCTAACTTATTTCAGTTAAACATGATCAGGATATCGGCACCAGAGGTACTTTGTGGAGTATGAATTCATTACAAACATCACGCTCTGGATTCTCTTGTCAGCACTGTGGGAAGTTGTGTATTTCCAGGCGTGATCTCTATGGTCATATAAATGCTGTCCATTTAAGGATTAAGCCATTCATTTGTACACTCTGTGGGAGGGGCTTTTCCTATAATAGAAATTTGCATGTGCACAAAAAAATTTGTCCAGCCCTGTTCACATCTACAAATTTAACAACATTGCAGTAATTTTAAAAATTACAGTTACTGTTGCAAGTTTTTATTCATTTCCAGCTGTTGTGTCTTTTAACTGTCAAGAAAGTCTGTACAGTAGAGAGTCTGCAAATGTACAACAGAGATCAAGCCAGTTTAGTCCCTCAGTCAGTAAAAAAAGGCACATTTGTCAATATTGTGGCAGGTCATTCACTCGATTTCAATATCGTGTTGATCACATCAACACACACCATCTTAGGACCAAACCATACTCTTGTGTTGTTTGTGGTTTAAGTTTTTCTCACAAGACTAGTTTAGCTAGGCATAAGAGCTACAGGGATCATAAGTTTTAATCAAGTTATATCTTTGATTTATTTCACCTTAACATAGAAACTTTTCTCAGTTTGTTAAGTGGGCATTAAGTGTTATTTTTGTTGAAGTTTTGTCTGTTCTGAATTTAGTTCTCATTTTTAAAAAATCCAACATGGATATGGTAACAATTTATGTATTTAAGTTTTTTGGGTGCAGTTGTTTACCAAATGCAAGTCCAGGCCCCCGCAGCTGAAACATATAGTAAACCTATTCTGCTTGCTGTATTCCTCAGCACTGACTTTTAGGATGTCATCATGGCAGAAATATTCACATGTGAAACAAGCATGGTTTCCATCCGTCCAACACAGGTTGTCTTGTGAGATATGTCATAAAAGTTTCATAACAACAAGAGATTACATTGGCCATAAAAATGCCAGACACTTAAATGTTAAACCCTTTCTTTGCAGTTTCTGTGGCAATGGCTTTGCATACAAAAGAAGTGTTGATTTTCATCAGAAAAATGGGAAATGTCCAGCTATGATTAAAGTTGAACATATTAAAGAATACAGTGGAACCCCGCTATAAAGCTGCCGTGGCATGGCTCCCAAATTATTATTTTTAGCACATAATTTTTTTTCTTTATAAAAAATGTGGAAAAAATTTCTGAACCATATTTTTCTTGATCAACAGGATCGCAAATACACTAAATTTGTCAAACGTCATCGCCATGTAGCTCGATATCGCCACAAGATATTAAAAAATGCTTTATTTTAAATCGCATTCACAGAGAATCCTATTTTTTAAAATCCCAACACTATTTTCCCTGAATATTGTAATTGCTGCTGTGTATGGGCCACAATTATTGCGTTATATCGAGGTTTCTCTGTAATCGTATTTGTGACAAACCATTTACAACAATCTTATAAAGTTAAAGCCACAAGTCTTTAATCCGTACATACATTGATAACTAAATTTTTATATATTGTATTTTTCTATTACCTCTGATTGTCTTTAATTACACTTTTATTTTAACATTTATATAAGATTTGTTTCCCCTTAATAAATTAGGTGAAACCTAATTGTTATTTATTTTGTATTTAATTTTAATAATATTATTTACTGTTGTTAAATTTATAAGATTTCAAGGACCTTTCTTTAAATTCTGTTAGATTGCTGATTAGACTAAATAAATAAATAAGCCAATGCTGTTAAATATATAATTTGATACTATCAACATGAATGTTTGTATTCATTTATCTGATTGATCTATGCTGATGCAATGTACAATAAATTCATATTTGTATTTGAAGAACTTGAGCTTTCTTTTTTTAAAATCAACTGTTTGGTCCAATATTATCTGTTAGCTTATGTGGTATGTAAAAGAATTCTCTGTATAGATTTATTTCAAGTTGCTTGGGCTCTGTTAATTGAAATACAATTTCTTTCCTATATCTTCAAATAGCTGTGAATCCTTGCAAAAATAACATTCATATAAGTTCAGGAGTTTTGTTCTCATAAATTTGCTAAATCTAAACACTTGGCCAGCCCTTGCCCACAAAGATATGGATGAATCCTTATCAGATCTTACTTGCAATTGTTGCTTCTGTCCCTTCCAGTTCGAGAAATTATTCTACTGAAGGATTTACACTCAGTTAGCTCTCATAGCCTAGATCAGAGTTTGCACAGCCTTAAACAAAAGCCGGTGAAACGAGAGCTGGAATCTAAGAAGACCCCACTGAAGTGGGCAGAACGTGCACGCAAGTACACATGTCACTTTTGTTGGAAAGCCTTCGTCGTCAGGAGGGATTGGGAAGGGCATATAAACTCTGTGCATCTAAAAGCAAAGCCGTTTCATTGTCATGTGTGCTCATGGAGCTCTGCTCATAGAGGTGAACTTCAAAAACATGTGAGAAGATGTTCTCACATATATGACCATTTAGTAAAGCAATCTGATGTTAATCAGGAGCAAGATGGATCTGTTGTTGATTTCTGAGTAGAAAAACCAAACTATGGGATGCAAATAAGTTCACTTGAAAGTTAATGCATATTGCCTTTTTCTTTAGTGCCAACTGAAGTTAACATTTTAAAAATCTTATTATTTTATATTTAAGTAATTTTCAAGAACAAATCAACATTTTACGTGGTTTGCTTTTAAAGATTCATTTAACCATACTTTGGAATATTCGAACTTCTGACTTTGCTTTGTGCCAGAATTATCCCTTTCATCTTTTTGTCTTTGATTGGTCAATGCATCACATAAAATGTTTATATTTCCAGCAATTATTGAATCACTCTTAAAACAAGAGGTGGAACCTTCAGACCATCTGCTCGGGGGAAGAGACTATATTAAATCATCATTTGGAAAAGGCATTGCTGGAAACATGTTTAATTGTCGATTTCAAATGTCTTCGTACTTGCCTAAACCTTTACTATTAAAGCGATACTCTTGCTCCAAATGCAATCAGTCATTCAGTTATCCAGGCAATCTCTCACGTCACCGCAAAGCATGCGAGGGGAATTTTGATATCAAATGCATGTATTGTGAGAAAGTATTTTATAGACAGGATGTTCTGAAAATGCACATGAGAAGTAAACATGGAATTATTAGTCTTTAACATACAGTATTGTCAGCACAAATGTGAAATAATTACTAATTTGTTTTTCCCGTTTCAAAATTCTTTGGTTGGTAAATTCTAGATTGTCATTATTGCATATGGACCATTGGTTTTGATTATTATTTGATTTTGAAAATTTCAGAACATTTAAATTTAAAAAGGATTTTATTTCTTCATGCCTAATTGTACTATTAGGGCCCACCAAAAAATATATCTAGAGCAGAGCAGTTATGTCTATACTTTAAAAAAAAAAATATGGTAAACACCTGTCCGCCCAGAAGCCTTGCAGCATGTTCAAGACACATTGTGTCTAACAAATTTCTTCTTTCCCAGTTCAAGGTGCATACTGGAAACAGAAAAGACCTTCAAAGGGCAGTGCTTGTAATAGACGTTCATCTTATTTCTTGACGGTGAATGATGCAGAATCATATCCATCTTTGCTGGTTGCATTTGATCTGGAGTGCAAAAAATGCACATTTGTTTCTAAGGATGCATTGGCAATGTCTGTGCACAAAAAAACCTGCACTGGAAAGAAGCATCTTACCTGTAGCTTTTGCGCAAAAGTTCTCAGTCGTTATGACTCACTAGCTGAACACATGCGTGGAATTCATGGTATAGGTACCAAAGTGCAATGCAGATTTTGTGGCAAAAATTTCAAATATCGACCACAAATGTATCAACATCAGACTGTGTGTGCAGAACGGCCGATAAAAATTGAAATGGATGTGCCATTTTCATCTTCAAATTTTGAAAGCAATGGGGACAAAATGGATTCAAAAATATCGTTCCCATATGATGTTACAATGGCAGTAGATATGGATAGCTTAGGGCAGCATGTATTCGTTTCAAAATCATGCACAAACCCTAATTTTAATACTTAACGATATACAGTATATTTTTTTGTATTAAAATATGGGTAAAGTGTTTTCTTCTTCTGAATATATTTCAGTTCTACTTTACAATAACAGGGTTTAAATTAGGTTAGAGCACCCCAGAAATGTGAAAACGTTTTGTGAAACATTTTTTAATAGTGGGTAGCATTTATCAGGCCCTTTTCCAACAATGAACCTTATCATGCGCAAACAATAATTACTAATATGTACCCATTACCCTCTCAGACGATGCTCCTTTGCACGCAGTCAAGCAAATTGTACTTCCAGTTTCTCAGATTTTTTACAATCGGACGTTATCAAGCTGCAATGTCTGTGGCAAACTATTTGCATATAGACACGCACTAAGACGACACCTGAATACTCATGATGCAACAGCCACTAGCCGATTCTCATGCCATTTATGTGGACGAACATTTAATCGCAGTGACTCACTTAGAAGACACTATAAACTTATACATAATGTAGTAAACCCATCCATTTAGATATTACATATTAATATTAGCATTTTAAATGTTGAGAAATGTTATTGTTGTTGCTTTTTTGATGGGGTTGTGCAAGATAAATCCTAGCCAATAGTTTTCAGATTCTGCCATTTTGTGTCACCCTCATCTAATACTTAAAAGTTACGAATCAGATTGTCTGTAATTTAGAAAACAAAAATCTTGCCCTTGAGTATTAAAGTCTTCTCATTCATTCACCACCTGCTAGCCCAGTAAGATTTAGATGGAAAATATTTACTTATCAATGTCATAATTCCCAGAACTTTGGCATACAAAGGAATCTGCAGGGTTGAAAAATGTACGTGAACTACCTCAAATTGTTGATGTGAACTTCCAAACTTCATTGCAAGCCACTATTGCACAACATGGCAGCTATCATAAAAGTGTTTGTGGAATTTGCAACCAACTGCTACATTCATTTGCTGAACAGGTGTCACATAAAAGTATATGCAAGGGAAAGAAGAATATTTCCTGTCCAGAATGTGGAACTGTCTTTAGGCGGAAAGATAATTTGCAAGTCCATTTGCGGAATAAGCACAATTTTGGTCATCCAACTGTATGTAAAGGTTGTGGAATGTATTTTAGGTCATATTTGAGACTTAATGAACACATGAGCTCTTGTGAGCAGCTTGTACATAAACCTTGCTGACGTAGATACCTTGCATTTTTATTTAAATTCAGGTAATCTGCATGTTTTAGTTAACATTAAACGTGAACTCTGAGCCGTTAGCACCACAGTTCTGCCCTCTTGTTTTAAGTTACTGTTAAATTTCATCTGACTGGCTTTCCACAGGAGCTTGGTGGAATGCCCTTCCCGAAATTAAGTCAAACCTAAGCTCAAGTGTGCAAACTTGTTCTGCATCAAGGATGAAAACGGATCATATAAAATTTTTTGACACTCATGTTTCACAAAATCAAGTTTCAAATTCTTGTCGAACTTGTAAAAAAATATTTATTTCTCGAGCACATATGGTTCAACATAGACATTTTTGCAAGGGGGCTATTGTTGTTTTTTGTCCAGAATGTAATAAACCCTTTGGTAGAAGGTACAATCTGAGAGTTCATATGCGTAATATCCATGGTATTGGTGAAACAATAGTTTGCAAAGGATGTGGATTAACATTTAGATCCTATTTAAAACTGAATGAACATAGACAATTTTGTAAAATGATTTGACAATTTAAAAAAGGAAATTAGTTTTATTTGTCAAAAAGTACATTTGATGTATAGTTTGAAATGTAATAACTACTTAATATAATAAAAGAAAGTTAATCACGTAAAGAATAAATGTAATTTTTCAAGTTTGTTGTCTTTAAGTTTTTGTTTCTGTTTGTTTCTTTACCACCCTAAAGCCTAAAGATTGTGCTGCACCAAAGATGAAAATTTGATCTTATAAAATTTCTTGAGACTCATGCTTCACAAAATCATTTTTCAAATTCTTGTCGAACTTGTAAAAAAATTATTTATTTCTTGTGCACATATGCTTCAAAACAGACATTTTGCAAAGGGGATATAGTTCTGCTTTGTCCAGAATGTAAGTCTTTTAGTAGTAAATGGTAGACAGTACAATCTGAGATTTGATGTGCGTAATATCCATGGTATTGGTGAAACAATTATTTGCAAAGGCATATTAAAATTTAGTTCCTATTTAAATTTGAATAAACTATGAACATAAGACATTTTAAAATGATTCAACATTTGTACAAAAAAAAAGTTTGAAGTATTTATTATCATAAAATACAAATGATGTGTAAATAAAAATTTAATAACTTCTTCATAAAGTTAATGAGGTTACAAATAAATCTGATTTTACAAGTTCTTTGTCTTTAAGTTTTTCTTTCTGTTTGTTTCTTCACCACTTTACAGATTAAATTTAATATTCATTGGATATTGAACTACATTCAATTAAAAATTTATTTAAAAAATCCTTGTGACTAAACAAAAAGTTGACTTAAAAACTAAAACCCATCCATCCAATCCACAAATTAAAAGATTTGACTCTAAATAAAAAAAAAAAGTGACAGGAAAAAAAAAGTCCCAGTTAATTGGTTTTGTTGCCAGCATGTTAATTGTGTCTGATACAATTTGTATCCCATGAGTTTCAAATGAAATCAAAATAAAACTCTGTATCATTTTGATGGCTTCAGAAGCCAGATTTAGTTGTACCCGTAATTATAAATCTTAAAATTTATACTTTATTAAAAATGTCTGCACCTATTTTCCAAATTTATAGGTCTAATAACAACAAAAGCAAATTAATTTTTATTAACATTCATTTAACAAATTAAGTTGGAGGGTCACTTACACAGCCAAGGCCGTAACCAGCTGTTTTACTAGTTGTGGACGGGGATTTTAGTTGTAGACGGGGATTATGAATTTCTATACAGCGATGAAACTAGCACTGTTAAAACAAAGTCTAGACTGGTAAGTATATGGTGAGGCAAAAGGAGCTTACTGCTAATTTTTTTTGTTAATTTTAGATCAAAGTAGTTAAAAATTCTAATGGAGTGACTGCTATTAAATGAAGTTAAAGTCATTGACATGATGGGGATATAGACTTCAAAAGACATTAGCATCAAGCACTAGGTTTAGTAGATCAAGTGGGAGGGCCATGCTGATAGAGTGTGGCCAAGCATTTTTCTTCTTTGCCAATATTTAAAAAACTGAAGCAGAGAAAAATACTGTTACGATGAATCACAATAACATGAAGCAACCATTTCTTAATTGAATTTAACAAAGGAATTATCAAGCTATATACACTTGCTGACTTTTCCAAGTACAATAGCTGCGAATTCACTTGGTGAAATTTTAGGGGTATAGGATAAAAAAGTAAGCAAGAATTTTTTTTCACACATTTCTTTGGGAATGTCACACCACTCACAAATTTAAAAAATGAAAATGTGTCTTTGTTTGTTCAGACCATAATGTGTAGATCTGCCAATTATTGATGTAAATTATCTTTATAAAAATAGAACTAGATCACAAGATACAATGTGAGGCAGATTGGTGTTTAAAAAATTATTTTAGAATGTGAAGTTTTTAAAAGTATCTCCTAGCTTTTATCATGATGAACCATCACTTTTCTAGATATTTCATTTAAAGTTATTTTTGGAACAGTGAAACATCATCCACACTTCATTCAAATTATAAACAAATTGGAGACAGTCACTTTGTGCAGAATATTTAGGTAAAAAGAATACATTTTTTAAAATTAATTGGTTGCAAGACATTATAACTTTAACTTCCATACTGGTATTGGTATGATAAAATTAAAAATACAAAGTAATGATCCATTGATAGTCCTTTAACTATTCTTTTGAAAAAGAAAAAAAAAATGATAAGTTACCTAAGGTCAATATTTGGAAAGGATTACCAATCTGCTAGACTTGGCCCATGGCTTTCTTTATCAGTTGGTGTTCTTGCATGCTGTATGTTGTCTCGTTAAAACATAACCGTCACCTAAGATGTTTCTCTGCTTCCCCAGGGCCCCTGAATCTAGGCATTGAAAGAAACAACTATGGGGCCCCATCACACCTTCGATCCTCTGAAATGCTTGGTGTCAATTCAGGGGGCAGCAACTTTTTGGCATGGACCCAACGTAGAATGTCTTACCCACCGAGTCCATTGTTGGGTGGTAACAGAATTTCCAACAATTTTTCTATTCAGGATAGTTCTGGGTCTTCTCCAGCATATTCTTCCAATACTCCTTGCTCATCATACAGACGATTGTCTCGAGATGTGCATGGTAATACTATGTTTTCCACATGCTCCAAATGTGGTGGCAAATACACCAATCCAGGGATGTGTGCTTCTCATCAGGTCAACTGTAATGGTACTAATCGTCTAATGTGCCACATATGCAAACGAGTTTACAGTCAGATGTGTGCATTAAAAGAACATCTACGTGGAAAGCATGGACTTGGGGAAATGTTATCATGTAAACAATGTGGAAGATCTTTTAAATACAAACCTCAATTGTATGATCACAGTTGTACTGGGATGGGGTTCAAGGAGAAGCAAGTGAGCCGATCCAGGGATTCTTCTTTACTTTCTCTAAATCAGTTTTCAAAGGAGCTTTCTGTTCATCCGAATGAGCATGATCTAATTCCTGACTCTCCTGGAACCATTCATTCAGTTTTACAACCTACTAATTTAATGAAGGAAGATGAATAGTGCAAATGTTTAGAAAAACGATAGCATGAAATGTATCTTTGGCTGCTATGTACTTTTTTAAATCGAAATTCAATTGATGGTGTTTTGTTTTTTACCTGAACCGAATTATAATTGTTTGCATTATACCAATTTTTTAAAATTTCTAGAAGCTCATGTAAATTTAACACTTTGTAGAGGTATCCTATCTTCCTGCCCTCACCTTTCACCATACTATCAACTTGAACAAGATTGATAATTTCTTGACTATTTTGAGTTTGAGTACCGTAATTTAAAAAAAAAACACTCCTAAGCTTGTAGATAGTTTATTTGCACTTCAGTTACATATTCTAAATTTCAATGAGTAAAATTATGGTTAGGTGTCAAGGGTGAAGAATTTGGCCATGAATGCAAGCCCAGAGTCCTCCAAGTACTGAGAGATAATGCGTAACTCTAGTGAACCACTCTTGTTTCTCTTCAGCCTCCAAAGTGCAGTGTCATGAGACAAGCGCTGCCAATGTTTCTGTGGATGAAGTGTTCGAGCTTCTTGGCCAACAAGGCCAAGCCACCTGCTTATGGTGCACACTCAAGTTCATTTATCCCGAGCAGTTCATTAAACATGTCACCAACCATCATGTGGGTGTACAACCTCTCATCTGCACAACGTGCTGGAGTGTGTTTGCTGATTATGAGTCCTTCCTTGCACACAGTGTTTTTAATTCAAATGAATCGAGAGCTGACTCTTCTCTTTCTGTCAGGAAAAGAAGAACAGCAGAAAAGCCAAAAATTGCCCCTGCAGGCATTACCTTTGAGTGCAGGAAGTGTAAAAAGCACTTTCGACAATCATGCTCACTTTTTCGTCATAGATGGAAGTGTGAAGGGACAAGAACAATTATCTGTAGCATTTGTAGTAGTGTATTTTATCGTAGTGATCATTATAAACGGCACATGGTCAATGCACATGCTCTTTAACAGAAGGGCATAGGAGACTTAAAGATAATTAAGAGTTATGTTTGTATCAAACATCAAAGTACAATTTTATATGCGATGCCTTTTTTTTTCAATTGTTAAATTTCAGCTTTTAAATTTAGACAGTTTATTAAGAGTTATGTACATATGTTTAAAAATGCAATCTGCCACTAAGAGCCTGTTTGCCCTTACACTATTGGTTGCAGATGTAATAAAATTGTTTTCTAGCTTATGTCTTACTTGAAGATTGCTATAAAACAATTGTTTAAAAAAACATAAAATCTGTTTATTTGAAATCCTTGATCAATATATTTATTTGGAATAATGAAACTTAACTGAATCCTCAGGAAATTTAAAGAAAAAAATCATCTTCTTATTATTTTAAGTTTGATACTAATACTAGTTCCACATTTTCGGTGGATTATTCTTGGCATTTGTGAGTTTCTAGCATTTGCATTTACAGTTACAGTTCTCTTTTTCCTTATAGTATAAGGTAGTAAAAATCCTTCATTACTTTTAAAAACCATTAACAATATGGTAGCTGTTCTATAAACTTTGTGGATCAAGTCCTGCTATGTTATTCTAATTTGAAGTTGTAAGTTTGCCTTTAAAAATATTTTCAAATTTGTAAATAACTGCCCAGTTGATCCTTCTTCAACTTCAATTTCTCTTGTACTGTAAAGAAAAATAAATGTTCTTAATTCTTAGGCCTGTGCTAAAGTTCACTTTCGTTGAAATTGCTTTGTTGGTGGAATAAATTTTTCTTTAATTATTTATTTTAAAATGCTTGTCATCAGGTATTCTCTACAGAGATCTTTTTTTAAAGGCTGCTGTTTATGGGGAGGATTTTCAATCTTTGGTGGAAAAACGTTCAAGACCAAGAAAAAAAGGCAGTTACCAGTGTGAACGCTGCTCTAAAGTTTTTAATATGCAACAGAGCTTAACCCGTCATAAATGGCAATGTGAAGGCACTCGTGTTATTGAATGTAATATGTGTGGAAAATCATTTCATCGGCCAGATCGATTAAAGGCCCATCAAATGTCCCAACACAGTTTTATTAGAGAAAGTGATCCAACACTTTCATAAACATTCCATCACTTTGTCAAATATCATTTAGAAACAATCCAATTATACATATTTTTTCTTGTGGTTGACATACTTTTTCTTGTTCTTGTCCCTGCCATCCAAAATCTCTTTTCATGCCGAACTGTGAGAGTTCTACAATTATCTTTTTCTCCTGCTTAAATAAGTTACTACATGTAATTACATTATTTAAAAACTAGTCTTCTGAGGGTCAGCATCTTTGTTCAGTATTTATTTAAAATATCTTCAGAAAGGTAGTTGTAATACCACCTGCCCCCCAGGATCAATGAATATTTTTTTTAGTTATTTTTGTGCTTCCTATTTTGTCCATAATTAGGTTTTGACCCCAGTTATACACGTTCAGACCAGTATGGTTGTGATCGCTGCAATAAAGTGTTCTCATACAAAGGAAGTCTAAATCGTCATCGGTGGAAATGTGAAAGACTCCGCGTTCTTAACTGCTCGCTTTGTTCAAGGGAGTTCTTTCGCATGGACATTCTTAAAGAACACATGTTTTCAATACACAAGGTTTCGCCTGCAGATAAATCCTAAGTAATAAATAGCTTGTACTTGTACTGTATCATATTTTCCATTCCCTACTTACTATATAGCTGAATAATCATCTTAGGTTTTTGAATAAGATAATGCATTAGTTTACCACCTGCCATTAATTAAAATTTAACGGATATAATTTTATTCCTAAATTCTGGATACAAAAAAAGTTGTGAGACTTTTTCTTTTATTAAATATGATTAATCAAGTGGGATCCTTCTTTAAAAATCAAAGTATTTTATTGTCAGATTTGCTAAAGATAAAGTTAAATAATGGTTTTATAGTGCACCATACTTTTGTACTTTTCCCACAGTCAAGTTTACAATCGGTGCTCGTATTCCATATCATGGACAACACCAAAATCATACCACACAGAATGTATATGTATGTGAGCGCTGTGACAAGACCTTTCTGTACAGTCAAAGTCTTAGTCGTCACAAGTGGCAATGTGAAAGATCACGAGTTTTGCAATGCCCAATCTGTTCAAGGGAATTTTTTCGTGCAGATAAATACAAGGAGCACTTTCTTGTACATAAAGCTATCAATGAGAAATAACTTTTTCTTTCTCTGCTTGTACCCATGCTAGTTATAAACAATTTTAGCAGATATAAAGAATATTTTTAGAAGTTAAAATGTTTGTTTTCAGAGTTCGTAAAATTAATAAAGAATCAGACTTAACCCCAATTATTGATACATCATTTCCTTTTGGCTTCTTAATTGATTAATTTATAATTTATGTTACTTTTAAAAAATTGAATATATATTTTTCTTTGGATTAAGTTAAAAATGTAATGTTGGCTATAGTAGCTAAATCTATTAAGTTGAAAGTGAATGTTGAAAGTATAGAATTTTCAATTTTTTTTTCATCTTAAATTTTGTAATAGAATCCAAACTCTATAAATAATAATGATAATTAATTCTTACGTCAGCCATCTCCTGATGTACCGTAATTAAAAATAAAATTGGGCTCCTTCAGATAGAAATACCACCTGCTTGCAGCCATAACAGGATCTCATGTCCTTAATATTTTTTGTACAAACTTGTCCTGGTACTTCTCATTAGGTGGACAACTCCCAACATCCTTTCATCGTGGCCGTCAGACTTACATGTGTCATCGTTGTAACAAGACTTTTCTATATGTTCAGAGCCTAACTCGTCACAAGTGGAAGTGTGAGCAAAGTCGTACCCTCAACTGCTCTGTTTGTGGCAAGGTTTTTTACAGAGTTGATTACCTAAGAAAGCATGAAATGAACCATGTTAAAATTATGAATACTGCCATGCCATATTGACAGACTAGTCCAATTTTCCATCAAATACCCGTATCCCACAATATTTCATATCAGTGATCTGTTAAAGTGTTTGAGATAAATTTTATCTGTGTGAAGAATTTGAGTAACAGTTACTATTTTTTTAATTAAAATAATAAAAATACTTTTTGTTATGAGTGAACCATACATTTTTTAAAATTATTGTCATCCTAAGGAAAAGCTGTGCATGCTTAAAATGTTATTTTTCTACTTGTCAAGCTTTTGAAATCTGAAAAGTATATTATTTATATTTTGATAGAAGGGTTTTGCAAATAATTGTGGGGGCAAAAGGAAAGTCATCTGAAATTATTGAAATATTTTCTTTAACATTAAAGTAGTTTGAGACTTATTAATTAAGAAACTTAATTTGACCAAATGAAACATGTTTCTATAAGAAAAATTAGGTTTCGAATTTTGGTAGCTATTGGTTGTGGTTTGTAGTTGTAAAAATACACATCCTATCACATCACTTGAATAATACCAGTAACTCTTTTTAATGATTTTTAAAAATTCATTTTTAAAAAAGTCATCTAAAGTTGGGTGTTGTTTTGTAGCAGTAGCATACTGTAAAAAAAGTTTCCAGACAAATTTAATCCCCCCCCCACCCCCCTCCTCTATTGGAAACGCTAAATGGCCCTCTCCTTTCTTTCTTTTGTCTATGGTAAGGTTTTAGGAACAGGCTTACAATTTTATGTCACTGTCAATTTGTATTCTACACCTCTTATTGCTAGGTCTGATGATTAATACAGGAATCTGGCCATTTCATCTTAAAGGATTTCCAAAAGGAGCCGGCTGTAAACAAAGCAATCCAGTCTCAGGTCGTCATGAGTGTGAACATTGTCATAAAGTGTTTTCGTTTTCACAAGGACTGCGTAGACACAAATGGAAATGTGAAGGGTCACGCATTTGGCCATGTTCTTATTGTGACAAATATTTCTATCGTTCTGATCATCTAAAGATTCATCAGAAATCTTATCATGAAAATAGTTTTCTTATTGACCGAATATGATGTCTTAGCTTTTGGCCTGCTGTAATGTCCTCTTAAGGTTAAGTTTATAATATAGATGTTAATATTGTTAGGGGTAGCTTGCGACAAAAAGTCGGTGGGTTACTAATAATATAAATTAGATTTCATGCTATCACTATCAATGTTTTGACAGATAGAAGTAGAAGGAATTTTGTTACCAATATTACATTTCTTTTATTGGATTTCTTAATTTTATTTACATAGTTACCGGTAATTTAACTGCAGCTTTGTACAAACTCAAATAAGAGTCCGCTTTGCTTAGGATTCCTAGGACGATTCTCCTGAATTAGTAATGTATTGAAAGAAATTTTCACATAAAAATCTATGTAATTCTTATATTATGGAAACAATGTTTTTTAATGATTTAGAAAACTTTAAATATTTTTAAGTATGACTAAGGACTATGAGCCAAGTTGACAAATCTAAATAAATAGGCAGTTTCTATAAATCAAATAAAATTGGCAATTATTTATTATGTTATTTTCATTCTTAATTTACTTTATTTTTAATATGCATGATCTCTTAAATTTTTGGCAAATACCTTTTTAAAATTTTTAAACCAAGCACTTTTTTGAATAATTTTGTTAAACCATAAATAAATCGGGTACATTAAAAGTACGATAAATAGAACTAATAGTGAACTTTCAGTTTTCTAAAAATTAATTCCTTATAATATAATCTTCACATGGTTCTAAAGCTCTAGTGATTGCATACCAATTTCAAAATAAACTTAAACGGGTGTTATAAATATGAGTTTTTCAAGATTCTATACCAATGTTAAGATCATTAACCAGCAACAGTAGCTCTCTCCAAACAGCTGTGTACATAAGCATGGCTGCATTTTTGTTTGTTTAATACCTAGAATTCTAAATTACTTTTACTTTTATCTGCCCTCAGTTAATATTGTTCAACTCTATTCATCATACCAAGATTCTCCTATATTTATGATACCGAGTATGAAGGACAAAGGCATGTTGCCATCAGCCAGACAAACAATGGCTAGACCTAGAGGTCGAGTATCAACAGTCGGGGCCTTCGCATGTGACATTTGTGGCACAACTTTTACCAAAAATTTTAATCTGACCAGACATAAAGGAAAGTGTGCTGGCACTAAAATTTATCACTGCCAAATTTGTCAAAAAATTTTTCACAGGACGGACAAGTTGCAAATTCATATGGCTATGAGGCATCCTCCTCAAATACTTTGTAATAACAATTTTTAAAAATTTTATTGAATGAAAAGAGCCTTATTTGAAAATAGCAAAGCTTAAAATTATAATCTTGATGACAAAATCGAAAACACTTATGATACTGCTGATGAATTGCGGCTACAATTAATTTTTTTTTAAGTACTATTTAATTTTGGTTCACATTTCATTTATAACTGTTTAAATAACTAAAAATGTTGCTCTGATAAATTTTCAAAGAAATTTGCACACAACTCCAGCCCAGGCTGTTAAAGTTAATGTTGAGTTCTTTCCAATTTGGCTTATGTGTTACTCATTGTATTGAATTGCAGAATATCCCACTCATGTTACAGGAATGAGCTTCAACTTTTCAAGTACACGTTACATTTATGGATGTTCATTGTGTGGCAAACGGTTCACCACCAAGTATAATATGGAGCGACACCAAAAAAAATGTAGCTCCTGTGGGCCACAGGGTTGTCAGCTTTGTGGGAAATCATTTATAACCAGCGACAGTCTGAAGCAGCACATGATCATTGTTCATTCCAATTTTAACTAATTTTCCATTATTACTTATTAATAGGAATACTTCCTTTACTTAAATTATTGCGAGCACAACAGTCATGTCTTTTTGTTTGAATTTTTGCTGTCGTCCAAATTAGGCAATTTTTTTTCAATGTTTTTTTAGTATGATTGGCTCTTATCTTATGCGGAAGTTGAAATCTGTTGGATCTGGTTATTGAATTTTACTCTTATTTTGCGAACAGTTAAGCGATTCTGAAATTTTACTTTCCCTCTTACACATAGAAATTCTTAAATCTGCAGGTTTGGTATCAGATATTGTGATCACACAATTGTCTGGTGGTATTTGGCCTAGCCGAGGCAGACCAACACACTCTTCCAACATACGTGCTCACTATTTCCTCTCAAACGGATCCAGCAGCAAGATGTTAAGAAATCAGTGTAATGTTTGTGGTAAATCATTTACTATCAAAGGCAATCTGGACAGACACAAGTGGAAATGTTTAGACATTAGGCAACAGCCTTGCCCGATTTGTGGCAAGGTTTTCCATCGTCGAGATAATCTCAAAGGCCACATAGCAACGCAACATGCAACTGAGTGGCCCTCAACTATATCAAATGATTCTTGAAATGACTGGTTTCATAAGTTGAAATTAGCAATCTAAGCTTAAAAAAAATTCAGCTTCTTTATTGCTAAAAGTAATTTTCCTTAAAGTGCTGCTATCTTGCATTTGACTTATTATTTTATTTTTTTTAAAATGTATTTATACCTATATGATTACAGCTGATTCATTCTGTGCAGAAACATTTTACTTAAAATTACGGCTATCTTTTTTAAAACGATTTACCGGTATAATAAATAATATTGTTACTTTTGAAGTAAAATCAGTTAATTTTTTAAAGCTTTAGTTATGATTAACATAATCCTATTTTGAAGACAATTCTTGCTTAAACTTTTGGTCTAAAGCTTTATCGCCAAATTTTAATATTACAATCAAGCTACTTAAATTTATTGTTTGAAATTTTTAAATGTAAATTTTTTATAACAGTGCTGCTGAGGTAAAATATTAACGTAAGCAAGTTGAATCATTTTTTATTGTTGAGAAATCGTAAACTGCTTGTAAATTAGCTTATTTGTGCTGCTACTTCTGTTGTATTTATAATGTAATAAGAACCCATGTATATTTACATATGACATTAATGAAAGTGAAGTAATTACTTTAATTACAATACATAAAAGTATTTTAATTATCATTGTACCTGAACATGATTAAAAAATGTGGTAAATAAATAATTTTCTATTCTCATAAGTTATAGATTCTTTTTTTTTTTTTTTTTTTAAATTGTTTGTTTCTCCTTGTATAAAGATTTTATTTATTATTTGTTTACAAGAAATCCTATTTTAATTTATTTTTTTTTCTTTATTTTTTTTTTTTTTTTTTTTTTTTTTTTTTTTTAAATTGTATGATTCGCCTTGTATAAAGATGTCATTTAATATTTGTTTACAAGAAATGCTATTTTAATTTAACCTAATCATTTGTTCCTTTACTTAACTGTAAGGATATTTTTACAAATGTTAATAAAAAATTTGAAATAATGAATATAAGTGTAAGTTTTTAATTTTTACAAATTTTGTTGTGTTGGATTGTGTTAATTGCTAATCAGTTTTGTAAATAAAATTATATGCATGGATCTATCACTACCAAAAGAATTAAACTGGCAATCTAAAAACAATAATGATTATAGTTACTTCTTTGATAAAACTATATTAAAAAATTTTCTCATGAGGAGTTGGGAAAGGGTGTAAGTGTAATGCAATGCAATATTAAATTTTAGAAAATTAAATGGCTATCCTGAAGTTGGTTACAAAAGAAGTTCTTGCAACAACCTTACTTAAACTTATTAATAAAACTCCGCTTTGCACTATTGTTGTTTTGGTAAAGAACAGTAGTATTAATATAAATATATTGAGTTATTACTTTATTACTATTTATTATAGGTCCCATCTTTCTTTGTTGAAAAAAAAGGTAAAATTCCCTTAAAAAAGATAACATTGATTTTTTTGTATTCCTTTATTTCAAAATATTATTGTCCCTTTGACTAAACTTCTGTTGAAAAATGTTAATCTAGATGCAATTAATATAAGGGATGTTCTTACAGGATACCAGTACATCAGATCATCTACATTCAAGAGGTGTCAATTTTTTTTTAATTAGGAGTTTTTAAATAAATATATCACACACCAGTACCAAAAATGTGTGTGGTTGTGACAGCTACTTCTTTCACATACAAAAGGAATAGAACTGGAATATTTTAAAACTTCTATTGAAATTGTTTATATTTTAAACTATAATAAACACACACACAATAAAAAAAAACTGATAAAAAAGCACGGGAGGTCTAAAAAAAAAAAGTTTTGTTTTTACTAGTAATAGAAATACCAACTACAAATGGTAACTAGAAATTTCATTGAAATTGTATTTTTACTGTAGATCTTTTTTAAAGAGTATTTTATTAACTGTGCACAATATTGTTAGAGGTTCATGCTGGACTAGTTACAAGCACTGGGCACAGGCAAATTTATTATAATGTTAAAAGTAACGGAATTGTTTTATTTAATAAGTCTTATTTTCATTTAAAAGTGGTAATAAATTAAAAACATACACAACAGCTTCACATATTCAATTGGAGATAGTTGCCTCCTAACAAGAAGGTGGCAGGTTATTGTTTAAGTCTGATATTGATTTCTTTTATGTCAGATGTTCTTGAGCATCTTGGTGCAAAACATACTGCATGTACTACTCTACACAAACGTTTTTTTTAACTTACAAAAGTGAAGGCATAATTATTTCTTTAACTCATCAAGAATCAGAACTTAACATACCAATTATTTTTTGTATTATTGACAACTCTTTATAAGTTACTTCTCAACACATGCAAAGAACAATACATGTCTTTTTGTTTGTTTGTTATTATTAAAATCTATGCCATGCTAACTATATTAATCAAAACAACTGGCATAACTATGACTTTTGAAAATGAGAAGTTTAAAAGCAACACCCACCATAATTATATTTATATTTGTGCACTGGACTTCACTATTAACCAAAAGCCCAAGTAATTATTATACTTTTTAAAATTCTCTGTGTACATTAATGGGTCACATGTATTACTAAAATGATGTACTTGATTTAATATTACATGTGAATAAACAGAGCAAGTCATAAATTGACTGATGATGCTAGTGTCAGACATTCTGTCAGTTTATCATCAAAGAAAAAATGTGTGATCACCAACAGCACCTAGCAGGATTATAGGAGCATCTTAATTCAGTTATGACATTTTCAAACCTAGTGATCATGGCCAGCTTAAAGGACCTCTTCTGTTTGTACTAAGTACTGATTTTGTATGAAGCGTTGCATTCTAAAGAGGTAGCTCCTCATTTTCTTAATGTATGATATGTGTCCTTGCAGATCTGAAAGAGGACATAACATCAGATTTCCTGAGGTTTATTGGGGCCCCTGGACTGAAGGCTGAAGATTTTGATGTCCTCAAGTTTCAGGCAGAAAGCAGACCACTTTTTCCTGGGATGCAGACACCACCAAAACTAAAATCAGAACCTGATGATGATTTAGTTACCAGTAGCCCTTATCCAATAATGCTGCATACCAAAGACTTAAGCATACCTTGCAGAGATCCAGTTGTCAATTTGCCACTAGGAGAAAATTTATTTACAAACGCTTCTTTTGTGGACTCGCAATTCAAAAGTTCAATGGGAACACCTGGTTCATGGAAGCGGCAAAAGCCTTCTAAAGCAAAAGGGGTATTTCAATGTGATCTTTGTGGTAAAGAATATTCCTACAAGAGAGGATTGCGTCGCCACAAGTGGGTTTGTGCAGATGTTAAACGTTTCCAGTGTGAATTCTGTGCACTAACATTTAATCTTCGAGAACAGTATACAAAACACCTTAAGGATTTACACAGTGCCGGGTTTCCAGAGTCGGTCCAGGTTAGCAGTATTCCGGATTAGGCTAAGCCAATAAGAAACTTAAAAGATTTTTGTAGTATACTTATAGCTTATGTATGTCTGATTTTTCAATTATTTTTCAGAACATTCCCTACTCAATATTTTATTTTGATGGCTCATTTTCTTGTAATTAAAAAATGTGAATTAAATGTTTGTTGGGAAATCTTCAGCATTCATCTAGTAATGGTACTTAAATATTTCAAAATTAATAATAGAGCAATCATGATGTGAATTATAAATAAATTCAAATTATAATAATATTATTCTTCTGGGCTTTTTAAATGTGCATAACAAATTGTAATTTATATTGATAAATAAAATTTTTTAAAAAATGTAAAATGACCATTTACTGTTTATAGTAAAGGGTTATCAATATGTTGAAAAAAAATAAATGTGTCCTCCTTTCTGATATAACATGGAACCGGGAGGCTATTAAACACTGATAAACATTGTAGCAAGCATAATCTATACATTCTGTTTATTGCATCTGAGCTATTTATTGTTGAGTTCTTATAAAAATAGAATTCTAAATGAAATCTGTGCCTTTAATTAGCAATGTTTTCTTATAATTTTATTGCTAGTCATCGTATTTAGATATTTTTATAAACCTGAAGCATGGCTATATATTGTATTTTCATTCATTTGATTGTTCTAAGATGTGATTGATTAATTAATTTGGCTGATAAAATTTCTCCTCACTATATGCTCAATAGTTGACTTGAACATTTGAGTACTGGGTACCCAGATTATCTTTCTAGTCTATGTGCATGTGATTTAAAATTTAATTTATATATTTTATTTTTATTAAAAAGCCAATAGACCTGTGGTTATTTTAGTCTATTAAGGTTTAATATTATTTTTTTAAAAATCTATCTAAATGAGGTCTTTATTATTTATCTTAAGGTTTGGCTCTATAAATTGGTTTGAGGGTCATTTTTCTTCGTTATGAACCCTTTCTAACTTATTTAGGTTGTTAACAATTATAATTTTCTGGTTGAAAAAAATGAGGCAATTCTGTTGCAGTGCAGAGGCACCATTTATCAGGCACATTCACATATGGTACTCAAATATATATCAAAATACTAATAAATAAACTGATCTTTTGGAGAAAGCAAAATTTTTTAAGTTACCAAAGCAGAGATTATAGAATTTGTGCAGCTTAATGCTTGAGAGCAATATTTAAGATGAATCTGTTTGTTACACATATGGTACATGGGATTGAAATAATTACCGTAGTAGTTCAAGTGTGTTAGTATCCTGTGAATTGTCTTTTTAAAGATTGAAACAGTTCAAAAAAACAAAAATTGCACTGTGCTTAATGAAATAACTCATTCTTGTTCACTAGCAATTTAAATGTGACTCTGAAGTATTTTTCATTGCCTTACTAAAAATAATTTTAAAAAGGAGGAAAAGATGGAAGAGTTGAATCCATTGGATAATAGGAAAGATCTGATATCTTCATTTTAAAACACTAATACAGGTTAAGTTATTCTAACATACATTCACACAAAAGTTGTATGTTTATGAATGAAAAAACTTTTGATCAGAATAAGGTAAAGGTAAGGAGATTGTCTAAATAAATAGAAAATAGTGGTTCCCGTACCATACTGAAAATGATATTTCATTTGTCTGTATATTATCAGCCTTATTTTTCTTTTCCTCTTTATTCTTCCTGACACTTCTTCTTTTATCACAAAAAATAAATTTGTACACATTTTGGCGACTGGTACATTTTGAAAGTTTTCATTCAATCAAGGTTTGGCAAAAAGTATTGCATCGCATCGTTTGTCCTAATTTCAAAAGCTTCTTGGTATTATGCGTCAG